GCACCAGTTTGCAGTCCCACCAGCAATGTACAAGAGTACCCTTTTCCCCACATCCTCACCAGCACTTGTTGTTGTTTGACTTCATAATGGCTGCCAATCTTACTGGAGTGAGATGGTATCTTAGGGTGGTTTTGATTTGCATTTCTAGGAGTCTTCTTAAGGAAGTCATATCCTAGGCTTACATTGTGAAGATTAGGATCTATGTTTTCTCTTCTGTTAGTCTCTGTTCTAGGGCCCAAATCTTTGACACATATTGAGTTAAGTTTTGTGCATGATGAGAGAGTTTTAATTTCATTTTGCTACATATGGATTTCCAGTTTTGCCAGCACCATTTGTTGAATAGGCTATCTTTTCTCTAGTGAATGGTTTTGGCACCTTTTTTCTAGTTTGATATAACCATATTTATGTGGATTTCTCTCTGTTTCCTCTATTCTGTACCATTGGTCTACAAGTCTATTTTGGTGCCAACACTATGCCATTTTTGTTACTATAGCTCTATATAGATTATAGTTTAAGATCTGGTCTTATGATGCTTCTTGCTTTCCTTTTCTTGCTAAGGATTGCTTTAGCTATTCTGGGTCTCTTATTTTTCCAAATAAATTTCATGATTGCCTTTTCTATTTCTATGGAGAGTATAATTGGTATTTTAATAGGAATTGCATTAAATCTGTATAATGCTTTTGGTAGTTTGCCATTTTTGACAATATTAATTCTGCYTATCCAGGAGTATGGGAGATTTTTCCATCTTCTGAGGTTTTCTTCAATTTCTTTCTTTATTGTTCTGTAGTTTTCATTGTAGAGGTCTTTCACCTCTTTTGTTAGATTGATTCCCAGGTATTTATTTTTATTTTTTTGAGTTTATTGTGAATGGGGTAGTTTTCCTAATTTCTCTTGCAGTCGATTCATCGCTGATGTTATAGGAATGGGTTTGATTTATGGGTATTGATTTTATATTCTGCTACTTTGCTGAATTCATTTATTATTTCTTAAAGTTTTCTGGTGGAACTTTTTGGATCTTCTAGATATCGAATCAAGTCTTTTCACTTTTAAACTGATTCTCACCACACATTCTTTCTTCCAGGCATTGGCTCATCTCCACTTAATAGAGTATGTCGGAGAACAGACTGCTTTGCTCATAAAGGTACATTAAATGCTGCAGTAGAATGTGCTCCAGTCCCTGTTCTTTGATTTTGTAAAAAGGAAAAAAAAATCTGGTAAGAATAGGTCACATTAATTATGTAAAAAGCACAGCAGGGAAACTATTTTATCCTGGGTAGCCTAGAGATGAAGGGAGATTATTTTTTTCCCCAAAGAATATATAATTACAGATGCCTGCTATTTTGCTTTTAGTCTTTAGTTAAAACCTGTCGAGAAGGGGAGCAGTGAACAGTCAGTGGATGCTGCAGAGGTCCCCATCCCAGGTCCCTGCTGGTGGGACCAGTGTGTGGAACCATCAAATTGTGGTGAGGAGGGGACTTCACTCTGCCCATTCCTCCCACGGGGTTAGTGGGCTGGGAATTGCTCTCCTTGGTTACTTTTAGAAACCAGCTGAGATTCCCGTGCAGTGGTGGCCCTGGTTTGCACTCCTGGGTTTGTTTCTGCCACACGTTCAGAAGAAGGATTAACAATCCTTTGGTCTTTTCTGAGTCTCACTGTCAAAGGATCAGATCCTAAGTGTGTGATCTCACAGTTGCAGCTGTTGATATACAGCACTGTTATTATCTGCTCCTTCCAGATGGTTCCAGAGGATAGGCGCCTTGCAGCTGCCATCGTCCTAGTAGTATGGGTCTCGGCCTTGGCGTCATCTTTGATTGACAACATTCCGTTCACTGCTACCATGGTGAGTTGTACATTTCTGTGGGCTTGAGGAGTTGCCTTCTGCCTGTGCACACTCTGGGTGCCCTTCTCTCCTAAGAAGGCGGAGTACAAAACCAGCCCTTTCCCACGATCATGGTCAAGATTATAAAATGTGGGGAAGAGCCAGGGAAGCTGGGCAGGGAGCTCTGAGAGCCCAGATGGCAGGCTGGGAATCCAGGGTCTGCAACTAGAGTGAACCGTATACCATCATGGCTGGCTGTTTTAGGGTGAACCCACCCGAGATCTGCTGCCCCTCTCACAAGACTGTCTTTTTTTTTTTTAAGAAAAATTTGAGACACCGAGACAATTTCATCTATATTTCCTATGAACATAGAAGCTATTCTAATCAGCCCTGTGACTTTGGGTGCTTGTCTTCGGCAGGAGTTTTAAGTTTCTTTGTGGTCCTGACCCCCATYCAAGACCAGAAGTACCCACCACAAGCCTCTTATAGGGGGGATGAGCCCTGCTCCTAGGGCAGTTTCTGTGTCATTGTTTCTGAATTCTGGTGTGACAAAGCAGGATCAGAGGTTGCATATAAGAACTGGGGTCCTGTCACAAACACCTCAGGGCCCAGGAGTGCTGGGCACAGGGACACAAGCCTGGTGAACCTTCCTCATGGCAGGGTACTAGATGGGGGAGTCCTTTCTGGTGTTCTTGTGACTGGGCCCCCTCTGGTCCCTATGAACAGTTCATTTCAGTGGGCTCCCAAGACACTTTACCAGCCCGTGCATATTGGGAACAGTGAGACCTCAAGGGGAGAGCAGGAAGTCTGGCAGTGTGAGGAGGGGGTGGGCTAGGCTTATGGTGGCTTCTCTAAGTAGGACCCACCTTGAGTGGACTTGGTAATCTGCATCACTCCCAGTCTGGGATTCACAGTTTCTGTTCTCCTTCTAAGGCTAGAGGTCAGTAATGCTGGACTAACTCTGTGGCTATTGTGATTTCTTCATGAATTGTCAAGGGAGAGATATCATGTAGCTACTGTCACATGTCCCAGTTCCAGGAGAAAAAGCAAAGTGCAGAACAATGTTTAGAGTAATTGCTTTCTGTGTAAGAAGGGGGAGAGAATACGAACACACACACACCATTGAAGGGTAAACGAAGCCAACTTTTTAAAATGCTGACTTGAACTCCTAATTTAAAAGACAGAAGTTGGCAGATTCAACAACAAACCAACCCCTAAAACAAAACAACAAGACCCAACTGTACACTCTTTAGGAGAAACACTTTAAATATAAAGACAAAGACAAGTTGAAAGGATATAAAAACAACAGGCAAAACAAACTTTAAGAGTAATGCTTGAGATCAAGAAGGGCATGGCGTTCCAACGAAAGGGTCAGTTCATTAAGAAAACATCACAGTGCTCACTCTGCATGCACTTCATTACATAGTTCCCAGGCACCAAATCAAAAATCAACAGAACTGATTTTCAGCACAGTTATCTTTAGGGGATAGGTCTCTCATCTGTCACTGTCAGAGAGTGCCTGGAGTTGGAAGCTGTCTTTCCTGAGCCTACTATTTTGAAATTTTAAGCCTTCCCATGCTGTCAATCATAACGAGTGCACTTTCTGCTTTTAATTACCCCATAATATCCAAGTACCATGGCCACTGCATAAAACAAATGCCTTGCCTTCAACCTGTGCCTTATCCAAATGAACCACAGGTAAAAGGTTTAAAATTTCAGTGCCATTGTTATCACATACATACTTCTTGTCACTAATAATCAGGTCCTCAGTCTTCAGTGGGTGAGTAGTCAGCTCCAMAATTCTGTTCAAACCATCTGCTGCTTTCTAGGGCCACAAATATTATCAACTGTCTTAGTTTTGAGCTTTCYAGACAGACAAGGCCGAGGCAATCCCGAGGAACTGCAATGTGAGGAGATGGAGAGTTAGCCAGGGAAGAGGAGGGAGGGTGAACTGGGGAAGTCATTGGCAGCTCATCTCTCTGCGCAGATTGGCACTATTTGCTTCTCAGCATAGTCTGTCTAGGAGAGGAGAAGAGAATTGATCAACTGTCTCACGTTTCCATCGGTCAGAGCTTGGTCTTGGGGTTGTACTTTTGGGGACATCTACTGGGGACCTGTGTTGTGTCCCACCTCAGCATCATCAGGTAAGCCTTCTGGACATGAAGGAAGAATCACATAGTATGGAGGAAAGGTGCCATCAAAGTGTGCATGTGCTGGTGGTCAGAGCCTATGAAGAACTGCCTCAGRATAGTGCCTGGGAGGAGCCTGGTTCAGAGATCTATAAAACTCAGACCAATGTACTTAGATGTGAAATGTTGTCTCCCTGAAGTATGGAAGAAGACAAAACTGTCTGTGGGCACCATTTCTATCAACCATCCCAGAGGTCAGTGGCAGTGCAGTGAACCCAGAGAAGAAATAAGAACTACAAGGACTAGAGAGGAAGAAATAAAACGGTTGCTCTTTACAGAGAGTATGAATCTGTGTGCTTACCTCAAAGGAATCTATCAATTGAGAATCAAAATTATTCGTTCCTTTATCAGGGACTCTGGAGTTAAAAGTCAGTTAAGAATCAGCAGTATATTTTATCAGGAACAATAAACTAATAGAAAATGAAATTTTTGAAATAAGTGTAATTTATAACAACATCAGAAAGGAAAAAGAATAAAAGAAAAAAAAAAGAGGGTCCCAGTTTTGGCTCAGTGGGCTCCAACTCTTTTGACACTATTGAGGCTTCTCTTAAATGAGTCTTTAACCCAGAGACAAGATCAGCTTATGCAATTATCTTGTTCCCAGATAAAGCAAAGTGCTCTAGCCATGCAAGGCTGGGTRGTGTGGTCACAGAATCCAGGTTTTGGTCAGTCTGTTAATCAGATTTTGGAATTGTGACAAAATACCGGAGRAAAATCAGCTTAAAAGGAAAGAGATAGAAGTCAAATTATCTCTGTTTGCTGATAACATGATCTATACTTAGAAGACTCGAAAACTCCACCTGAAGACTGAAGAAGAGCTGCTAAACAAATTCAGCAAAGTAGCAAGATACAAGATAAACATACAAAAATCAGTAGCTTTCTTATACTCCTGTAATGAATCCACTGAGAAAGAAATCAGGAAAATAATTCCATTTATAATAGTCCCCAAACAGTTGGAAATAAATCTAACTAAAGAAGTGAAAGAACTCTGTAGTGAAAAATTGTAGAATACTGAAGAAATAAATTGAAGAAGACCTCAGAAGACGGAAAGATCTAGAATGTTCCTGGATTGGCAGAATTAATATTGTAAAAATGTTCATATTACCTAAAGTGAGCTACATATTCAATTCAATCCCCATCAAAATATGAATGACATTTTCACAGATGTAAAAGAAAAAAATCCTAACATTACATGGATCCATTCGTGGTGGTGCACACCTGTAATCCCAGCTACTCAGGAGGTTGAGGCAGGAGGATTGCAAGTTTGAGGTCAGCCTTGGCAACTTAGCAAGACACTGTCTCACAATTGAAAAAGCAAAACCCAGAAAACAGAGCCACTGGGCTAAATTTCCAATACCACCCCTCCCCATACTTCCAAATTCATTGGAAGAATGAAAGACCTAGAGTAGCCAAAGCAATACTGAGCAAGAAAAGTGAGACTGGAGGCATCACGATATTGGATCTCAGACCATCCTGGTAACAAAAGGTTATAGAAGTGTGGTAACAAAACTCCATGGTATTGGCATGGCATAAAAACGGACATGAAGACCGAAAGAGTAGAATAAAAGACACAGAGACAAATCCAGATGGATGTAGTCATTAAATCCTTGACAAAGCTACCAAAATCATACACTGGAGAAAAAATAGCCTTTTAAATAAATGGTACTAGGGAAACTGGATACCCATATGTAGAAGAATAAAACTGTATCTTTATCTCTCACCATTATGGTTGGAACATGAGGTCTTCCCCCAAAAGCTCCTGTGTTCATGTAGCAGGTGAAATCATTGGATTAGGAGAGTTGTGACCTAATTTGTGGATTAACCCATCTGATAAGTTAATAATTTGAATGGACTAACTGGGTGGTAACTCTAGGCACTGGGGCTGTGCCTTTGGGGTTCATATTTTGTCCCTGGTACCTCACACACACTCTCTCTGCACCTGGCTGCCATGAGGTGACAGCATTCTTCCTCCATGCCCTTCTGTCATGATGCTGTGCCTCATCTCAGACCCAGAGCAATGGACTTGGCTGATTGTGGACGGAGCCTTTGAAATTATGAGCTCAAAATGAACATTTTCTCCTCTAAGTTGTTCTGATCAGGTATTTTGATCCCAGCAATGAAAACCTAACTATCACTTTCACCACGCACAAAAATTAACGCAAAGTGGATCAAATACCTAGGAATTAGACCAGAAATACTACAACTGCTAGAAGAAAACATAGGGTCAACACTCCAACATATTGATTCAGGGACTCCCAAATCTCAAGAAATAAAATAAAGAATCAATAAAAAAATGGCACTAAAAAAAAAAAACTTCTACACAGCAAAGATAACATGTAAGAGTATAAAAGGAGCCTACAGAATGGGAGAAAATCTTTGCCAATTACTCTTCCACCAGGGGATTAATATCCAGATACATAAAGAACTCAAAAACTAAAAACCCCAAACACAAATATTAATATATGTGATGGAGTTTTACTCAGCCATGAAAAAGAATGAAATTAAGATATTTACTAGTAAATGGATGGAACTTGAGAGAGTATCATGCTGAGTGAAATATTGCAGACTCAGAAAGTCAGAGACTGAATATTTTCACTCCTTTGCGAAAGCAAGAGAGAGATTTATAAAAAGCAGGACAGAGAGAGAATAAAATGAAAATAAAAAGAATAGTAGAGAAAGGGGATTGAGGGGTGAGGCAGAGAGGTGGGTAAGGGGAGCACTACAGAATGAAATCGACCAACTTATGCTGTAGGCATATATGAACACATCACAATGGATTTCACTTTTATGTATATTTATAATGTACCAATTAAAAAATAAAGATAAGACCAG